AATGTAGTAATGATTATCCCGGAATAGGCATTGTTCTTCATGATTGTTCCAGATGTAGTGCGATAAACAAATGTTATGATGATGTTCTCATACATACAGAGTATTTGGAGTTTGTCATTGATAATAAAAAATTTTCCCAAATACGGACTTGTCCTCTAGTTTTTCCATCAGGTTGGAATCTTGGAGAGACAAGAATAAGAAAAAGTCGATTATTTTATGGATTGAGAATGAGAAAGTGCTATTTGGGGACGACAAATGTTTTTTTTTTTATTTTGTGCCACCTCCTTATTGAAACCTCTTGATTTGACTCAAGTTAATAGTTGAAAAAGTTATATGCGGTGACACCAAATACATTCAGTGTTACTCATTCTTGTCTGCTCTTTTCCAATTTGTTAATGAGATTTCAAAATATCCATATATGGGGTGTTTTTTCATGTAAATCGATACCACTGTGGGCGAAGAACATACGAATCAGATATCAAGGAAATTCATAGGATGTTTCATAAGTTATGATTGATCGAGACAATTTTGAAAACAGATAAATCTTCCTGTATCTCGATTATAAAAAATGAAAGAATATAAATTATTGAGAGGCACCTTGGTGACGTCTATCTACTCCAACTGTAGGCGCATTACCCAATGAATCAGCCTGTATAGTTCTTTATCAGAAATTGTTCCAATTAGAACCATATTTTGTTCTTTCTTGGTTGTATCTTCAATGAGAAATAAATATAATTACATGAACTTACATAGTGGCGTCGATAAAGGGTTCAAATGACAAATTTCATTGCAAACCAATATTTCATTTCACGAATTCTTATAATTCCAGTTTCCAATAGAAAAATTGCGGTGACATTCATTATCTGAACACTCACCCACCGACGCCACTACGTACCTATCTTGCAATTGTTATTGAGTACATACTTCATTCATCCAAGTTAGTGAAAACAGAAAGAATTTCTTACATGAACTGAAATATCACAAAAACTCTATATTGTGATTCGAAAAAAAAAGATGAACCACCCCTTACAAGCAACATAAATTCAATCACTGGAATTGTATACAGTTCCATAGAAGTGTGTTTAAGAGGAACTTGTAAATTCTCAACATACACTGAAAGAAATAGTCCGTAGAAAATACCAAACGATTAGTAAAATAGGCGCCAGTCACTACATTCATCTGATAATAACCCTACGAAATTGTATGATACCATACTATATCAAATATGGGCCAGTTTTTGTAATAGCTGGCTAAATAGGGAGCAGCTAGTCCGTGAGTGGTTTATTGAGGGGCGAACCGTGCTTCTCCCCAAGACTGGACATTTGCCTAATCCAAAGAATCACAGACCAATTACCTGCCTGAATGCATTTTGAAAGATGTTCATACGCATCTCGTTCATGCGAGAACTCCTAGTAGTTGATCCAGTTTACCAGCGGATTTTTGAGCAGCGTGGGCAAAGAGACGTGTCGCTGGCTGCAAGGAGAACCTGTTGATAGTTAGATCTATTACACAGGACTCTGTGCAGTACAAGCAAATTCTTTCTGTGGCCAGGATCGATTACCAAAAGGCATTCGACACAACGTCATATGATTCACTCGTGAACTTGCTCGAGTGTCTCTCGGTACCCGATTCAATAGTTAGAAGCATTGAACAACTGATGCTGGTCTGAAAGACCCGCTTTACCATAACATCAGGTACTGCGAGAGTCCAAGCAGAGCCAGTCATCATAAGGAAAGGAGTATTTCAAGAAGACTCTGTTAGTCCTCTCCTTCACTACATCTCTCTTTTGCCACAATCCGATGAGCTCACAAAACAGAGGGATAAAACTGCGGCCCACCCCGTGACCGGAGGCATAGGGTCACCTACTCATTCTATGTGGATGAGCTCAAACTTCATGCCTCTGGTGAGAGGGATATGGACAAATTCCTCAGGTTGGTGTGGGTGTACACTCAGGCAATTGGAATGGAATTCGGAATGGACAAATGTGCACTAGTTCATCTCAAGAAAGAACGATGCGAGAACTACGACAAGGACGCGCAGCTCGTGGACGGAAGCATCCTATACCACCTGGATGCCAGAGAGACGTACACCTTCCTGGGTTCAGAGAAAACTCTCATCCAGGAGGCACAATGGGTGAAAAACGCTCTCCGCAGCAGGTATCGGCACCGGCTACGATAGATCTCGTCGACAGAACTATCGGGAACGACCAAGGTTGCTGCTACTAACATGCTTGCCGCAAGATGATGCAAATCCATAGGAGTGTGCATCCAAATCCGTCCATTCCACGGTTATAAATTCCTAGAGACCAGGGTGGCCTCAGACTCCTGAGCTTGGAGTATCTTCATAACAGAATGGTTTAAGATGACGCCTGCAAAGTTATCAGGAGTTTGGATCTTCTCCCGCCAATAGTTGAAATCCATGAAGAGGCAGGAGTAGAAGCTATTCTTTCTAGAGGAGCACGTCGAGCAGCCGATAAATAATCTCTGATTTTCGACTTCGAGCGCGAGGCTTGTGACTTAGTCACTGAGCTGGAGCCTGCTCGGAGAAAGGCATCAGAGCTGCAGAAGTGAGAAAGCTCCTGCAGCTTGACATGGATAAGCCCATGCATCCGGTCTACTTCGAGACCATTGAAGACCAGGAGGAGGAGAAGCGGACTGAATATCGATATCTCCTTTTTGAACTCCGCAGGCTCTTCTCAGACCATTCTGTGGAATTGGTCATCCTGATAATCGGCCCCCTAGGTGGCACACGGCATACGCTGTTCTCGAAAATCCAGGAGATCCCAGCGTGCAGTGATAAGGCTCACATCCTGGCTAGTAGAATGCAGAAGGGAGTCATACTTGGATCATTGCGTTTACTCAGGGCACACAATTCTTGGTCCCAGTGATTATTCACGCCACAGGCTGTAAGGAGTTGTCACTGATATTATATTCAGCACGACTCTGCGTGGCGTCGGAGGCCGCAGAGTCGTGACTGAATAATATGAATTCATATAATAATAATGATATTAATTATGATGATAATAATGATAATAAATTAAAATAATGATAATAAAAGGCAAGAGGGCAAATCTCTCAGAGGGGTGCCTATGAGGAGTAGCGACACCACCTTTCCGAGATAAGGGTGCAGAATCGGACTGGCAGCGAGGGCGCACCCAGAACTCATTTCTCGTTTTGTGTCAGCGTTGGGCCTGCTAGATTAACCACCTGGCAGGCCCAATTACTCTGGTTCCGATCAACAAAGGAAAGGGCCACAGCCGACCCCAGCCGAATAGGAGTCGAAGGCAGGGTGGTGGGGCCCAACAGGACAGACAGCCTGACAACGACCACAACGAAAATGGCTAGTGGAATACAGAAAGCCGTCATACTCGGATTATTTCGTGAACTCTGGTCACACGGTTCTTGGTTCCAGTGATTATTCAATTCACAGGCTGTGGGGAGTAGTCACTGGATTATGTCCAGTACGACTCTACGTGGCATCGGAGGCCGCAGGGTCGTGACTGAAATCACATTAATTCAATAATGATCATGTTAATCACATAATGATAATATCGATATTGATCATGATAATTATGATGATACTAATGATGGTTATAATGATAATAATAAGAACAAAGTTGCCAAAATTATGACAAACATTATTATCTCATTTGAAGGTTCAACATAAATTTTTGTGGGTGTGAAATAAAGAAAAAAATGCGGAAGCATCACCATAGGGTAGTCTCACAAGTTCATGGGATATATTTTCCAGAGGCCACATTTGAGCTTCACTTGAATGAGAAACACAGCAAATATCTTATGATGATGATGATGGAAAATTGAATTGATTGTATTCTCTCCCAACCACTATGTTTTCATTCGATACTGGCGAAAAAGCTAAATTTCAAATTCTCATGTTTTTACCATCCTCCAGAGCACAGCTTGAATCTTTGAGAGTTCATGAAAGCTCGAACTTCGGGAAAACAAATGATCTGACCTCTGGACCAGAACATCCTGCCATCAATGGATTATCACACAGTTATTTGATTAAATTAAATTCTGATACTTCTTCAGATAAATTCACTTCTTCTCTACAGTGCATTGACTCATATTAACCTTGAACTATTTGTTGTAATGGTTTATCGTGCTTCCCAATAAATGTTCCTGGAAATTGGAGAAAATTTTCACATTCGAAATTGATGGAATTGTCTGGCACTCCAAATGTTTCAACATCATCTACTGCATGTAATGAATTATGGAAATCACGAGTAAACAAATGGAATCCATACATTTCCTCGATACTCTTCTCAATATGAATTGATTTCTCAACATAACCGATATACATTGTGCATTGGGTAATATTTCTCACTCGAGAGAATCAGGATTGGAATTGATAGAGTCGAGAAATGTTGATACTCCTTCTTTGAAAGAACATTGATCAATACAACTGGCCCAGTGTACAGTTAACAATTTCGAGATTCTGTCGCCTTCCAACCTCTCAACATCTCTGAGAGATTTAGGCTTCCTAGCAAAATAAGAAGGTAATGAAGGAATCATGTTGATCAAGAGTTTTGTTTTTTCGGATTCTTATGACCCAAAATCAGGGTGAAAAAATCTCGTTGAAAAAACGTGTATATGAAATTTTATAAAAAATGATTCATTCATGTGACTCAATTGTATATGTTGTGTTCATTCTTCACTTCATACTATAATTTATTTACTTTTTCGGCCCAAGTTCTATCCAGAAGATGTTCAGCAGTAGACAATGACGCACGTATAATCAAACAAACGGATTAAATCATAAAGGAATAATTATATTGATTCATTCACTTCATATCTTTCTAAAAACTGGATAGGTATGAGATATTCTAAACTTCATCTTGAGCTCATCCATATCATTCAATCTACTCACAATTATGAATCACAGATAAAAAAGCGTTTCCTCAAAATTTTGTTCAATGCTATCAATTCAACTTCTGGAACTTGAGAACTGTCTATTCTTCAATCGATCATTTTCTACAGATGCTTCCTCGTCGAACGAAGCTGTTCACCTGCAACAGCGCCTACGTAGCTTAAGCACCGAACTGGTAACACTGCGCAACCGCCTCCATGTGCAGGGCGGTCCACATCAGCCGCAACAGCAGCAACCGACGGCAAAATCTTCTAATGCTGCTACCACCAAAGAAGCAAAACCCCTGCTATCGGCAGCGTTACCTCCTGCTACCAGTCACCTGCAGCTGGAGGTACTGTCGAGAAAAAGTTTCAATGTACCTGACCTTTTCGTGAGTTTGTGTTTGAGTAAGACTCAATATGTATGAAGGTATTTCTTTTCCTAAGTTTTTTTTTCATTCCATCTTTTGATATAATCGTGAATGGAATACAGTGATTAGTTTTGAGTAATGCTATCAAATCAGATCAAAGCGTTCATAATTCAAAGAGCAGGTTGAACGAATTCTCGAACGGAATATATCGACTTTCTGTATGTTAATTGTGGTCTTTCTTTCGATTTAACAATAATTGACGTCCGCAAATCAGACCGCATGCAGAACTGACAACGACTCCTCTATGATTCACACTGAATTTCAATATCTTGATTTGATTATATTAGGAACAGATAGGATCTCTGTGCTTCATTGGAAGAATATTGAAGTCGACATAACCCAGACAGCAGACGAACCAAGAAACATAAATCTCGTCATTATGCTTTATGCATTTCTGTATTCTATGATCTGAGATAATTCCGAATGTGGGGAAAAGGTGAACCTCCATTGATGTAATGACGCAATATGACGATATTGAAGTCGGTATAACACAAACAGCGATAGATATATGGCCAATTTACTTCCATACTACGCACACTATGAATTGGGGACCGTAGCCGGAGTGACATTAGTGAAAACACGTTCTTAGATAATCGAGGGCAATTAAATATCGTAGCCTCTCAGGCTTCACTCAACATCTGGGAGAAGTCCATGGTAACTCAAGTGGAGTGGTGAAAATTATGGATGGAAAACTCAGAGTCATTTCACAACTTTCATCGAATATCATTCAAGGTACATGTTCCAGGCTTTTGAGCTTATATGGAGAATGTGAATCCTGGCGTTACGAATAATAATAGTAGAAATGATGAATTCTCAAGTCAGAGTTGACAATATGTATAACAACATGTTACAACCCTGGTTGAAGATAGACAACTAACTATTTTTTGCTAATAGAGAGATATAGGCTCGCGACTGAACTCTATTGGAGACGGAGTGATTCCAGAGTTACTCCTGAATTATGGATATCAATCTCAAACACTATTTTAGGCCAACAGAAGATGTTTTGCGGTCGTGGTGAGTATCGAACCCACCTACCGGCAATCCCACGTGAATAGAATACTGATGCTTGAACCACGAGGATACGCTAACCACTTATAACTACACACATCAACATTCAATCACCAAAATATTTCCTGACAATGTTCTCTATAAATTTGAAGCGCTATATAAATTCAGATATTCTCCTGCAATAATTGATTTCGATACTCACTACTCTGAATTCTCGAATCGAAACCTGATTTTATTTCACCTGAGCATTACATAATTTCCAAATCCTAGTTTTATGTCATAACCCAGAAAATACCATGATAACCTTCCCAGAAAATAACTGATCATACATTTATAGCTATCTGCTTTGTATCATGAGATTATTCAAAATATCCTAATATGACCTATCAGTATAACTTCGTGGAACGCAGTATTGTTATCATGCCTGTCATGTTGACAGTGGTATATCATAGTAGGTACTCAATGAAATAATATTATTGAAAAATATGTCATACAAATTTAATGATCATTCAGAATAATTGCATGAAAAACTTGCGTGACATCCATTGTAGGGTTAGGCTTGATACCTTGGTCAGCTACACAACTGCAGCTACCAACTACAGAACAGAATACCAATTAGCGGAACTCATATCAAAGAACTGCTCCAATATGTGCAACATTCATGCTTGAAATCCACCCAAATTCCAGATGGCTATTGAATTCCAGGACAGAAGAGTACATTCAAAATGCTGCTTACCAAACCAAAAATCTGGCACACAATATTCAGCCTACAAATATGGCATACAATATCCGGCCTACGAATGTAGCATGAAAAAAATCAGGTACTAAAACCTGGCGTTCTGGATGTTCATACCTTTTGCAGAAACGGGAATTCATTCAAACCTAGTAGTATATACAACATTCACAGTGTAATCTCACCTGGAGGTCCAAATGGGGTCATCAGACATCAACATTCCAGACCATTTATTTTATCCAAAATTTGACTGATACTGTTCTTAAAAGAATTTATGCTATCAATTTACTGACCAATCATTTTTGCTTTCGACTCTATTCACCTCATTTCCAAGTGAAAGCAGCAAGACTAATATCCTAGCGGTTGACGTCATCAATCACTCAGCTACTCCTGAATGAACACTACGCGAGTACCACAGCCCACCATTGTCACCAAGCGAACTCACTGTCCGTCACCATTGAATGATATATCTGACGTTTCACAGCTTCAACTACCAATTAGCTGATCATAATACTGACAGATACTTCAACTTAGCAGCCCTGACGGGACACACAATTCATTCCATAAATGATCCCCATAGTATATTGGTTCATAATAGGAAAGTGTACAATATTCAAACGATATATATACCTTACTGGGAGTTTTTTGATTCCGAAATACTTGATATAGCGTTCGATGATCTTCAATTCGGATGAGATAGCCGCAGATATGGAAATGAACAGTCTCCAGTAGATAGAATCAAATTATGGATAGCGAAGTTTGTGCAAGTAAGTAATCTGAGCACAATGATTAACTGAACCTTAAAAAAGGTGGCGTCATGAGATAGCTGACCAGAAGTTCAGTTTAATACGCAATAAACGTTCAATCTCAGGTCTCCGCAGAATCGATCAACCAATTTATAAGAAACGGTGAAAAGTGAACGTTACAATTGCCCCTGTCACTTCGAGTAATTCGCCTTTCATTTTTTTCTGTTCTGTTCAAAGAATTAAAATTTCGAAATTTGATTCAGGGCGTACCAAAGGACTGACAACCCCAATCGCCTTGAGGGCCGACCAACCTGGAACGGCGCTGATTTCGGAAGAGGTATACCACAACAAAACATTCAGGATTATTTCTCCATCTCAATTCGATGGACAAATGGCGATTACTCGGATCATGAAGAGTTCAACCGAATGTAGGAGAATTACTCGGCAATGTAACAGGCACCCTTAGGCAACTCGCGATTGTGTCGACGGGGCCCCCTTCCATCCGTTCTCCTGCCCCCTCCTGGCCACATAATCGAACACCCAGTGTCGCCACCTGCCCATTCTTATCGGGATTAGGTGCCAACCAAACATAATCATCTCTAGAAAAAATATAAAGAGACTTGAAATGTAAAAATATAAGTCTCTACCAAACTCCGGGATGTACTGTCAACCAAAGATGAACGTCATAAAGAAGTGGGGCATAAAGTTGTAGGACTCTCACCCACCATCGGGTGATTTCTTGACAGGAGTATTCTTGAGCCCCGCACGGCAGAGCATGGTCCAGAGACGTTACTCATGATCATCGGAGGATGAGCCTTCAAGTCCTTCGCATGACAAACTTCAAGATACAGATTCTGGTTGTCCTTCAGTTTATGAGTTCACAGGGACTAGAGATCAGAAAGTATTTATACTAATACTTCTATTAATATATCGATACTGAGAGGAGTATCGAACTATCGATGAATTTATATTTGGTATCGATACTGAACGATACTGACATATTTGTCGTATGCCAACTGTCACCTTTGATTTGGAGTTCTGATCCATGCATAACAATCATAGTTCAGAATGAATCTCTATGTATATATATAAACTCCATTGACTCTTCGACAATTGATGATTGATGAAATGCTTCATTCTGAAGTATCAATATATCTATGATGAACAGAATTTCAGAGTATCGATGCCAAGTATCGATAGATCGATATTTTCGTGAGTTTTATCGTCGATCATAAACATCATTATCTTGTGAATCGGATCTGAAAGAACGTTCTTTGATATCCGAGAAGAGTTCTCCTTGCGCTTACTGGCGCTGAAGTGTTACATTTGATCGAACAAATTGGATAAGTTCCGAAATGACTCTCCTATTGAAGAAACTTTATTACTGAACAGTATGGAATTTGGGGTAAAACCAGTGATCTCGTGTTGAGTTGAACGAATAGCAGACCCTACTTCATCTGAATTCTGATATCAAGATATATGATCGTCTGAGACATATAATCGTAACATAGTTCTGATAACTTTATCCATCCTCCTACATGGAATTACCTGGGGATGATGAAAAGCGCTATGATGAATATTCACATTATGGGACTTCATCAACTTCTGGAATTCTCATGACTCGAATTGGACTGTATCTTTTAGAATATTCGGATTTGGATAACCAAACATTGAGAACTAATTATTTTCTGAAATTTGAACAATGATCGATAGGACAGCTTGTCGCAATGAGAACAACAGAAAAATCTCACTGAAACAATGAGCTACTACGGAAATATATTATATTAAGATCGAGATCAGGTCAAAGGTCGAATCAAGTCTGCATACAGAAACTTGAATGGTCGAGAAATTGATGTTTGCTATCTCAGCATCAATCCAGGTAAGCGTTTCTGCTCTGGTTTGATAGCAGGTATGACATCTCCGAACAGAACATGCTATATTAGACCGCATCTTTGGTCAATAATATTGCTGTGCTTTCAAACACGCCCTCATGGCTAGGTGACTCGTGTACAAACTGAATCAGAGGCTTGCGTTTTTTACTAGAAACTACAGTTCAACGATACACTTAAAGAGATATCAGATCTGGATATCGAGGATTACTATTTCTGTACATATTGTTAACATCAACTTGCTACGCTGAAAACTCTCGGTGACACGAATTAGGTATTTTATTCTTTAAAGTATCATACCATTCATCAGTATCAGTAACACCTACAACTAAATTTGAAGATTGTGAATTGACACGGCCGTTACTTCATGGAAATCCATGGCAAATGTGCGAACTCCACGAACGATAATATTTCCACAAAATTCTCGAGAACACGACATATTTCGCTTACACAGTAGCTACGTCAGGTGATATACTAATACAATGTTCCATCCTATCGTTTGTGAAGTTCTTATATTTGGAGAATCAGGGTTGAGGAGAACAAAGAAAGCATTCACTACAGAGACTGAACGAGACAAGATATCGA